AAAAGTCTATGTTTTGAAAGTTCTCATGTCGCACATACCGGTCTTGGAAAGTAACCTTTACCTCGAGTAAGTGGGATCACACGATAAGTCAATACCTCTGACCGAGGAACAGAACATTCCCAACAGTGGAAGTAGGCTCTAAATCAGTCAAGGCTCATGTTTTAAGCAAAACATGAAGAGAAACAGCACTTTGGGCCAAAATCTACTGTCAGGAAATGCTCATCGAAGATGAGGAACAAAATGAAACTTCTGAGGAGGCACCAAATACTTTAGATGTGATTATATATGGCTTTCCATATACCCAGTGACACCAAAAGTCTATGTTTTGAAAGATCTCACCTGGCACATGCCGGAATTCGAAACTAACCTTTACCTCGAGTACGTGGGTTCACACGAAAAGTCACTACCTCCAAGAGAGCAACAGAACATGCCCAACAGCAGAAATCGGCTCTAAATGAGTCAGGGCTCATGCTTTAGGCAAAACTTGAACCGAAAGAGTAATTTAGGCCAAAATATACTGTCAGGCAACGCTTATCAAAGACGAGGAACAAGGGGAAAGTTCTGAGGAGGCACCAAATACCTCAGATGTGATTATGTATGGCTTTGCATATATTCAGTGACACCAAAAGCCTATGTTTTGAAAGACCTCATGTCGCACATACCGGCCTTAAAAACTAACTTTACCTCGAGTACGTCGGATCACTCGATACGTCACTACCTCTGTGAGATGAAGAGAACATTCCCAACAGTAGAAATCGGCTCTGAATTACTGAAGGCTCATCTTTTAGCCAAAACCTGAACCGAGACAGCAATTTATGCCAAAATCTAGTGTCAGGCAATGCTCATCCAAGATGAGGAACATGAGTAAACTTCTGAGGAGGCACCAAATACATCAGATGTGATTATATATGGCTTTGCATATACCCAGTGACACCAAAAGTCTATGTTTTGAAAGACCTCATGTCGCACATACCGGCCTTAGAAACTAACCTTTACCTCGAGTACGTGGGATTACACGATAAGTCACTACCTCTCAGCGAGGAACAGAACATTCCCAACAGCAGTAATCGGCTCTAAATCAGTCAAGGCTCACGTTTTAGCCAGAACTTGAACCGAAACTGCACTTTAGGCCAAAATCTACTGCCAGGCAATGCTCATCCAAGATGAGGAACAAGAGGATACTTCTGAGGAGGCACCAAATACTTCAGATCTGATTATATATGGCTTTGCATATACCCAGTGTCACCAAAAGTCTATGTTTTGAAAGATCTCATGTCGCACATACCGGCCTTAGAAAGTAACCTTTACCTCGAGTACGTCGGATCACACGATAAGTCACTACCTCTGAGCGAGGAACAGAACATTCCCAACGGTAGAAATCGGCTCTACATCAGTCAAGGCTCATGTTTTAGCCAAAACTTGAACCGAAACAGCACTTTAAGCAAAAATCTACTGTCAGGCAATGCTCAACCAAGATGAGGAACAAGAGGATACTTCTGAGGCGGCACCAAATTCTTCAGATGTGATTATATATGGCTTTGCATATACCCAGTGACACCAAAAGTCTATGTTTTGAAAGATCTCATGTCGCAAACACCGGCCTTAGAAACTAACCTTTACCTCGAGTACGTGGGATTACACGATAAGTCACTACCTCTGAGCGAGGAACAGAACATTCCCAACAGTAGAAATCGGCTCTAAATCAGTCAAGGCTCATGTTTTAGCCAAAACTTGAACCGAAACAGCACTTTAGACCAAAATCTACTGTCAGGCAATGCTCATCCAAGATGAGGAACAAGAGGAAACTTCTGAGGAGGCACCAAATACTTGACATGTGATTATATATGGCTTTCCATATACGCAGTGACACCAAAAGTCTATAGCTGCTGTTGTAAAGGTTCTGATAGAAGCCGATACCGCACGGCTGACAAACCGAAGCTGTCGCGTACTTCCCTGGAGGACAGTACAGAAGGGTGCATTCCGAAACATCCTTGGCTCCGTCTGAAGGGGTGCTGAATCCGAGCGGACAGGAGACGGATGCGCTCATCTCGCCAGCGGCTTTATAGCTTCCTTTTGAGCACCGGACACAGTGTCCGTCAGGTCCAAATTCCTCACCGTCGTCGCATGCTGAAAACATCGATTACGTACTTTAGAATCTCTGTTACTCTACGAGAATCGAGCTGATTCCTACTCAACGTGCAGTCGCTGGCACTTTTGGAACCACGATTTAATGTGTTTGTACCGGCAGGA